GCCACCATGCCCGGCTAATCTTTTCTATATATATATTTTTAGTTGTCCAGATAATTTCTTTCTATTTTTTTAGTAGAGACGGAGTCTTGCTCTTGTTCAGGCTGGTCTCGAACTCCTGACCTCGAGCGATCCACCCGCCTCGGCCTCCCAGAGTGCTAGGATTACAGACGTGAGCCACCGAGCCCGGCCATTATTTGAAATTTAAATTGAAATAGTCACAAATGCCTAGAGACTACCATATTGGACAGAACAGCTTTTATAGGGCTCCTTGCTTGATTGAGTACCTTTAATAGTAGATTCCAGTGACCCCTATCTCCTTATTATCATATGTAGTTTTACGCTACCATGCATTAACAGTAAAGCTTTGAATGCCTTATTATTTTAAGAACTCTATGGTGTAAAAAGTAAATAAATGTAAGGAAATTTATTATTTACTGTCATGGTAACAGGGAGAGAATCATCCCTGTTTCTATTATTACATTTGTGCTTGGACTTGAGGATAAATATTTATAAAATAGGTGTAGTAGGCCCCTGTTCACCAGCCCTACTGGGGTACAGGCACTTTTGGGGCAGAATTTGCATCTGTAGCTTTGGTCTCTCTCTGTAGGGCATTCTCTGAAGTCCTCTCTGGGGGTGGGGGTGGGATCATCTGAGTACGCAGGACTGCCAAAGACTTGTCAAGGTGGGGTTTTCTGTTTGTCTTGTTTTGCTCATAGTTCTATGAGCAAGTAGGCGGGATTTGGCTTCTTTAGGCTAGCAGGAGCTTGCTCTAGCTCTTTCTTTTAATTTCTTTAATTTGAGGATCCCTGCACTTGCTCTTTGAAATGCTATTTTGTAAACTGCTATTTCCTCTAAGCCTGTTATGCTTTTTTTTCCATCTGTGTTGAAGTCTCTTTTCCCAGTGGGGCCTTTCTTTCTCAACTTAGTCATGCCATGTGTGGAGATCCACATCCACACTGCTGGCCTCTGTGACTCATCCCGGGAGGTTCGCTTGCTCCAGGGAATCTCACAGTGCAGTGGAACAACAGGGAGGCTCCAATGAAGCGAGCCCTTTCTGAAATCTGCCTCTTTTCCTGGCAACTCTCCTTCTTGTCCAAAGCTACACGAGAAAGGAAAAACAGTACAAATGTCCTTCTCCCTTTAAGGCAATGTTTTTAGTAAATAGTTTTTTTAGCAATTCTAATTTGCAGTTTATAATGTACTTTTGTTGTTATGGCTGCTTTTAAATATTCCATAATCTGGCTAGTCTAAAAACCTGTGAATGCTCCAATTTTCCTTTTTCCTACACCAGCAAGCCAAGAGAGTTAATTCTGACAGTTACATTTTCCTTCCAGTTACAGATTAAACTGTTCCCTCTTTTGAGATATATTATTCATAAATATGAACAGTCTCTGAACTGTAGCTCCTCCCATCCATAGATAGGAGGCCGGGTGGGTGGAGATTGCTCATCTACCTTATTGGTTGCCCTGGGGTTGTGCTGAACTGCCTCTTCACAATCTAATACTGGAGGCCAGGATTTTCCTTAGCCCTCCCGGTTTCTCAAAGAAAACCCTCTGCCAAGGATGGCTCCAGCGCATGATTTCCCAATCCTGATGACAATAAATTCCTCCCACTAAATTTGCCAAAAGGGTCAAAGTTGACTAACATAATGATCATAAAAAACTGACCACTGAGTCACATCTAAGTATGGCCAATAAGCAAGTCAATTAATCTCTTTTTAATATCACCAAGCACATCCTGAAAGTATAAAAAGGAACTTTAGTCTGAATGTGCCATTAGCTCAGGGCAGGCTGACCTAAGTAGTCACAAAAGAACTTTCCACACCTACCTAGAGGTGTCCAATGGAGAAATCAAGAGACACACATTATTTTTGGTTTTGTAAATTCGCTTAGTTGTGCACAAGTGCCCTGTTCTTCTAGTTAAAATACCTTTCATATATGTGTATATACGTATATCTTCTTTGCCTTTAGTCCTAGGCATTTCCAGCCATTTTATTATTTTTAAGAAAATCACTTCGGATTATTTTAGCAGCGGGAACATGCGCAGTCTGTATTCTGACTCTCATCCTTGGCACAAGACCTCACACAATTGTCTTACTGTCTTGTTCCTTGTGCAATGGGGACCCATCACTAGACTTGACCCTGGGAATGGAGCGCAACCATCTCACCCTCTCAGGGAGTATGGACCCATCTGATGCTGAGGTCAGAAGGCTCATTTGCCAGGAAAAATGTGTAACTATATGAACTCTTACAAAATTCACTTTAGCTAAATTCCAGCTGAACCAGTGGGGGGAGGCGGGGAGGGAGACGTGACATTTCTGACGACCGCGGGAGCTTTGGGCACATAAGCCCAGAAAACGATGTGCAGGGCAGTGCTAAAGAAGGATGCACAGGCGGCTTGCCAGAGGAGGGCTGTCCCGGCCCTGACAGAGTCCGCTCGGGGACGCCCCCTCCTCGCTGGCCGCCTCATCTTACCTTGACCACGTCGTCGTTGAGATGCTTGGGGTCGCGGTTGACCAGGTCGATCTCCTTGGTGTGCGCGTCGTAGACTTGCTGCTTCTCGCTCACCTCGTCTGCCATGGCCTTGTTGTTGGGCTTGTAGATGTTGCCCTGTTCCCGGATGGGAACGGTGTAGAGATGTCCCTGCAGAGGGTGGACGGCCGGGACGGGGAGGGCGGCAGCGGCGGTGGGAAGAAAAATTCAAAAAGAAAAGCGATCAGAAGTCAGCGCGGCGGCGGGGCAAACCTCGAGCTCGAAATCGAACTGACCGCGTCCACAGCGACGGCTCCGAGCACAGAACCCTCCCGCGCGCCGCAAGCTTTTTAAGAGGATCTAGGAGAGGACACCACACCCCTCGGTACCAGGCAGGGAGCGCCTGCCTCCCCCGCCCGCCGCCAGGGGTCAGGGCAAACCCCGCCGCGTCGTCCGCCCCGGCCCCCGCCCCGCGCACGCCCTGCCCGCGGCACCCTCGGGGACGCCCGCAGGGGAGGGGGCCCCCTCGGACTGCGCCCCGGCCCCGCTCTCCGCTGCGCCACCCGCGCCCCGAGTGCTTCACCTGCTCCACTTGCCCGTCCCCGGCTCCCCCTACCCCGTCCCCGGCTCCCCCTACCCCGTCCCCATAATCGCTTCCAGCTTTACCCTTAAGACTCAGCCGGAACCTCCAGACCCACGGAATGTCCCCACTTTCGTTGCTTCTTGGCCGCTTTCCCCCTCGCACCTGCCCGCGCCCCCCACCCTTCCTCTGCCCTCACTTGTCCCTCCACGGTCCCGTCCTCCAACCCCCGTGATCATCGCAATCTCGAATGCCCCCATCTCTGGGCTGAGCCCTGTGCCAGTCCTCCTAAACTCGCTAGAACCGTAGCTCACCTGCACAACTCCCCCGACCCACCCTCGGGTCACTCCCAGGCTGCCGGCGGTGGCAGAAGGGCGGCTGCGTGTGGGAAGACGTGGTCTCCACACCCTGGCGGGGCTCGAGCGCGGAGAGGTGGTTGGAAGTGGTGGTGGCAGTTGGATGAGGGGAACACCGCTGCCAGACGCCGAGATGCAGGAAGAGTTCTTGAGACCGCTCAAGAACTTTGGAAAGTGCAAACACAGCGCGCGCCACCAGCCGGGCCAGCGGGTCCAGACGCCTGGCCGGGACTCGGCGCGGACTGTCCCCAGGACTGCGGGTAAATGACCCCCCACCCTGCGCCCCAGCTCCCCACCTCCCAGTAGACAGGGGCCGGACCTGGGGGTCCCGCGACAAGAGAGCACCCTAACCTGTCCAGAAAACGTGTCCTCAATCCGGCCGACCCAACCTCAGGACCCCGACCCCTTTTTCCGTATTCTCGCTCAGGGGCTTCCTTGGCCCCTTCCCCATTAGGAAAACATAAAACATTCCTGGCTTCTCTTTACCTCCCCGCCCAGGCCCATTCCTCAGAGGTGCCAAGCGAGAGGAGTGCCCCGAAGTGGAGAGAGGGCTGGGGCAGGGAAAGCAGTCGGAGTATTTGGAGTGGGAGATAGCAGAAGCAGGCACTCCACGCGCGCACAGGGCCCGGCGCCCCGCCAGAGCCTACCTCGGAGTCTACGTATCTGCCCCCAGACATGCTGGCCCGTGGCTGGATGAAGGCTTGGAGGAGGTTTCCCTGGGCTGTGATTTAAGGGAACTGAGAAAGGAAGATCTTGTATTGTATGGGGTGGGGGTGGCGCTGGCGGGGGGCGGTGGCCGGGAGGGAGCCTCCTGGCCGCCCGCCAGGGGTTTGTTCTGCTCGCGGTTGGCCAGGACGCGCGCTGCGCCGGGTCTAGGCACATCCCCAAGGTTCTGGCAGCAAAGCGCGGGGAGCGCCCGCCCGCAGGGAGCGAAGAGCGAGCGGGGGAGAAAGCCTTTCTCCGCGCTGGGCTGCTTGGGCAAATACTTAAAACCTGGGGCAACATTTTCCCAGCTATGAAACACCAAGAGGCGTCCCCGGGATAGCTAATATTTTCGCAGTGCATCATCACGGCAGCGGTGGAGGGAGCTGACGCGCCTGCAGAGATGCCCAGTATGGGCAAGCAAGGCGACAGAAACAATTCTGCCCTGTCCTAAGCCGTTTTTTTTTTTTTTTCCCTTCCCCATCGCCCACGTTCAGTTGCTGCCGAGACCTCCTTGTTTTCACAAAGGAAGGGATGAAAAATGGCTTGGAACCCTTAGGTACATTTCACATCTAAACACAAGGAAGGAATCTGTGTGGGTGCGTGCGTGGTGTGCTTTTGGTGACACTCGTTTACATCTAGTCAGTGTGGATGGAAACTTGCAGAAGCGGAGATGCAGAATTTAACGTTTCCCACCCGCTTCTGAAATGTCTCCTAAACGCTTTGTAATAAGAAAAGAAAATGTTTAACTTTTATATAATTTTATTACTGATCTTTTCTGGAAGAAAGGAAATTTATGCCGAAAGGCTATGCCATATTTACAAAACATGTAAAATATTTACAGTTATAGAAATATTTAATTAGAGCTTCAATTTTATCACCAGAGAGGATTTATTTTTTAAAGATCTGCTTGGCTTTGAGGGAAGACTTGATTTTTCCACTAAATGATGAGACTTAAAAAAAAAATAAGTTAGCGATTGTTAGGTTTGTTCCAGGTGGGAACCCGAAAAGTATGTATAGGACAGAATGTGGTTAATGCAAAACTTAGGCTTGTAAAACAATATCCACAGGAGTCTGGAGAGTTCCCTGACTTTGTAGATCTGACTGACAGCTGCAGCCAGTATTCCTTCCCCCTCCCTCCCTGGTAGAGACGAAGTTTATCCCTAGCTCTCCTGATAAGGACGACTCCAGAGCTGAAGGATGGATGTGACTGGGGCAGGGGTCCTAGGAGTTGGTTGTTTGAGAAAGAATTGATTACAGGCAGCTGTTCTGGCCCATTTACTGACTCCCTCTGGAAAAACCCTTTTCTCTTGTGGACGTTTTATCACCTCCACCCATCTGCACCCAGATTTTCAAAATAAACAGCATTTTGCTACACATGAGGCTTCGTGTTTCTGTTTCTCGGCTCCGGACCTAACACCAATCAAAGTATTTTATCACTTCCTGAATTTGGGGCTTCTTTCTTTACCTTACTATAAAGCAGCACAAGACCAATTAAATATTAATCAGTTATTTTACTTTTTGGCCATAATGAGTCTGGAAATTCATTATCCAAAAATGGAAAGGACATGTTGCCTAAGGTTCCATATACAATCAAAAGTCAAATTATGGCTTGAAATTTCAAAAGCTGGAGTGTGCCTGAAGGAGCACAGGGCAAAAACACTGGCAGTCTAGAGAGGGAATGTGGGTTGGGGTAAGGAGGACAAAAATGGAAACTAGAGGATGGAATGCTGATAGAGTTGATAATCTAGTTGGAGAGGAGACATGAAAATATAAAAGGGAATTATAAAGGATGGGCTATTGTTGATAGCAAAAGAGCAATACAATTTTTGGGAAAAGATCAGTTTCAACTAGGAATGGCAGACAAAGCAGCAGCAGTGTCACAAACATTGGCATGAGTTTAATTATGCTGGCCATTCATCATTAGTAGACTAAAGATCTTTCAAAAAGTGGGTTTCCTTAATTTTATTTCTGTCAGATTGCATTTCTATTAATAAATTCTTTGGAAAAAATTGTGTTAACAAATGTTAGCAAACATGATATGCTCAAAGTGTTCTGTAGCAGCTAGTGCATCTCTAATGATTGCTCCAAGGTGGCAGTGGGGTTACCTTCTATGGAAAAATATGGAAACCATTTCCCATCTATTGTTATTCAGTCTTCAGCTGCAGTGAGTAATCTTAACTGTGAAAAAGTCAACAGGAACACAGTGAGAGCTTGTCCTGCAGTCCAACCAGGAAGGAACTTTCTGGGGAGGCCTGTGAGTGAATGCTTAACTAGTACTCAACAGAGGGAAAGCAGCCTTTCTGGGGAAGTTCATGTAGAAGAGTGTAATCAACAGCAGCACATGGAATCATAATGATCAGTGAGGCGTTGTCAATGCCAAAATGCATTCCTAATGAGAGGGAAAACCACAGACTCTTTATTAACCTGCCTCAACAAGAAGCTGGCACCAAAGAGAAACAGATCTTAGTCTTGTTATAATAGCTGACTTGGAGAAACAGCTCCAAATTTATGAGAAATAAAGAAAAGGTGAAGAAGAACATTGTTAACATAGGTGCAACAGGATTTAAAACGAATAGATGACGTAAACAAAATTGTTTTTGTTTGATACCCACATAGATAACTTTAGGCTTGGAGGCAAGTTAATAACATTCTCCAAATCATTTACTTAAAAAAATGTGTAGATGGCAACTCATTTGCCTTCTAATTTTTTTTTTTAGAAGCAGCATTAAAGGTCAGCTTGTGGGTTATATGTTACTAGAAATACAGAGCTAAAAGGGACACAGATCATCCAAAGCAACCATATTAAAAATGAGGGAAACCGAAGTTTAAATATACTAAAAATATTTGTTTTTATGGAGTTTTGTAGGATAATGAAACATTTTACAGTTGTTAAATAACTATAGCACCTGTTAATGACTTCTGGAACATGGGATTCTTAAACAGTTGTGAACTAAAATAAAATCTTAAGGCTCCCCACCCCAAGCTGACTGAATGGACCCCCTCTTGGCCAAGGGGATATCCCAAAACTAAATTGCCTGCCAAGAGGAGGGAGGTCAGGCTTGCCTAATCATGTCTCCTCTCCCTTCTGGGAGACATCCTTTGTAACCCATTAATAGTCCTAAGGGTATGCAAGACACACCTGCAGGTCCTCAATTTACACAACAAATATGTGTCAGGTGGCTTGTCTCTGATTAACAGCTCCTTATCTTAAAACATTCCAAGCCTTAGTGAAGAGAGAAGATTTCTGTCAAAGAATATTTAATGGAATTAATGTCAATTTAATTTACACGGTAAGAAAATCTGTGCATACATTCAAGATAAAATGCTCCCCAAGAACAATGTGCTCTTGAGGGAGAGCCTTTTTTTTTTCACCTTCACCAGGAAGCTTAAAAAGTTAGAATCTAGGATCTAGAGCAGTGAGGTGAGTCCCTATTGTGTTTATTCCATGATTTTCTACAGATAAAGATAGAGTTAGAATAGTTCTGATTGGAGCTTAACTAAACAATTTTAACCTTAATAAAGACTGTCTTAAAGGTTTAAAAAAAAAAAAAGCAATGAGATGGCCCACCTTTTCAGTCCAAACCAATGTATGCCTTCC